AGGGTGGGTGACGTATGTAACGAACATTATTTTAATGAAAAGATTTGTTTAAAGTCATGAGCTAAAGGGGAGATTAAAAAACAACAACAGAAAAGTTAAAGAAAACAAATTCTGATATGTGTACTATACTGTATTACCGGTAATGCTGCATAGTATAACATGTGAAACGAGAGAATTAGTGCATGCATTTTATACAATGGATATATTCTCTTTAATTCTTTAAAGCATTGTGATAATAATGCTTTAAAGAACTTAACTATACTACGTACCAATGTAAATATGAACAAGAGAAAATACAAATATGTCACAATGCCTCGGCCTTTCATTTATTAAAGCGTTGTGATAGCATTCATATTATAATTATAAATAGAATCATTGGACGCCATTGGTATGAATGGGAACAAATACAAGTATAAAATTGAAGTGGTCAGAAACTTAAAGGGTCTCAGTCTTAGTCACATTTGGCTTAAAAATTAAGTTCTTGTTATGACGTCACACGTGGTGAGAGACTACACAATACATAGCCTACATCATTGGAATAAAATGACTGGATGACTTTAAATCAGTTATGGCATTCACAAATGACCCAAACTCGGTAGCATAATAATGGGATTAAGTTCAGTTGATTTTTCTTTCTTTTGGTATTTTTTCCCGAAACGACCTCAAGGTGACTTACGCCCTTTATTCTTCTGAACCCTTCAGTTGTACAATACAGTGCACTTGTCTGGCATCTGTTCAAGCACTGTGAAACATTTTTAAAAAGAAGATAAAATGTTGGTATGCCCAAAATAGTAAAAGCAATTTTACGCGATGCAAGTTCTTTGTCGTTCGACTTTTCACCTGCCTTTGCCTACTTTTTAAGTTCTTGCCGCCTCCCAAATGATCTAAATTGATTAAATTGTATCGATGTGGCTATTTATGGACGTGGGAAGGAGGGGGGGGGTTAGAAAGGAGGTTGGATAGGGTTATAAAAAGGCAAAGAAAAAGACGAGGGGGGGGGAGGGTCGAAGTTAGATTCAAATCGGTTTCATCTGCAACCCAATCCTACCCCACTCCACACCCAACCTAAAATCATGATAGCAACAGTTTTAAAGGTCAAGGGGTAAAAGAGTAATCAATAAGTCTAAAATGATAACCACCATAAAACACAAGGCTGACTTTTGGAATAAATCTAGAATCTAGTTGTGGCTTTTATTTACAAGTTATAATATGAAAAATTAAGACACATTTCATTGCACCACACAATGTGACATAATGCACAACATGTTTGACAAACATGATATTGCAAACCTTTTTCTCACACATGAATAACAAAAGGCCAATTTCTTTTTTGTATTATTCTGTTTACAGCATGCCGTGAATTTACGTGCACTACTAAAGTCATATATGGCTTTATCTAGGGTAGGAAATATTAATATATGTAAATTCAGTGCCCTCTTTTCCACTATTCTCTACCGTTCATCAAACTTTTGCCGAAATTGAAAAAACCCCCGAAAAAACCCCCGTGATGAACATTTTCATGGCTTATGTGAGTGTTTCAATGAGGGAAATCATGAAATGAATACAGAATATGAAACAAATATATTGTGCAAAACCGACAGTATTAATCAATTCATGTAATCTAAACCGTCAATTGGCAGTAGTCCTTAGAAATAAAGGTAGCTTCTATTCCTATAAATAAACAGTCATTACAGGGACAGCAGAAGAAACAGGGGCGCTTTCAGGACTCACCCTTTC